TGAAGTCTGATTTCAAGCCACAAAAATTTCTAAACGTACAAATACTCATGCCAAAAACATAATACTTTTGTTTGCAGCTTTCTTTAGTCTGAAAGAAAAACTGCGTGTGAGCAAGTGCACACACTAATTATTTTAGGGATCTTTTTACCTCCTCAACAGTTTATACAAGTATGAACCAGTAGGTTTGGAACTATGTTTGCAGTACATCTGGAAACATGGCAAACCTGGGATTTTAAGTTGGAGTTATGCTTCTTCCTCACAGTATTGTGTGTAAACAGCATTTTGTAAACACTGCATTACCTTTAATAAGTGATTACTCCAAGTCCCGATTCAAGCAACTGGTATATTCTATCTACCCTCACTTCCTATCTTTACATGCATACACATGCAGCCACACTTCTGAGAGCTTGTCTGTTTCTAGAGACCAGTTTTCCAAATCCCAACAACTGGCCAGTCCAAGCTTATGTAAACAACTTGAGATTCGAACAAACTCAATGATAATCATTGCTGATTAAATCAAACTTATACAAAGGCAAAGTAAATTGAACCAGGTACACGAATGCAGAGATAAGACAGAAGCTGATTATCTTGCATGGCAACAAAGGAGAGCTGCTACACTGGAACAGACTAATGGTCCATCAGTTCCCAAATTGTTCCCTCTGGTTACAGCCAACACTTCAAAGAACACGGGGAGTCAACATTGCCAGAAGTCATTATTTGCCATAGTGAGAACAAGAGAAATCAGTTAATAAGTTCAGTTTCTTTAGGCACATTTTAAGATGTTTATTTTAAACTCAAGAGGGTGAGAAGAAGCTCTTCCCTCGAGCACTTAATTATAAAATAATTCTTTTAAACATCTGACATCTTCACTTATTCTTTACAATCATTTCCAACACTGGGACAGAGTCCAAGAATTTCAGCAGGCCATTATGAGGACAGAATTTCAGTTTCTTTTGTCCCTCCACCTCTCTTCACAGAGCCTGAAAACTTGATTCGTTAAGGCCACAAACCATTTTACCTCTCAAAGCTGCTATCTCAAGGTGCACTACTATGATAAGTATGATAAGATGCCCTAGCTTGGAAGGTCATTGAGAACAGTGGCTCTCAGTCATTCCCTCACCTCTGACAGCCAAGGCAGATTTTGTGGCTCTGGCAGGACATTACCATACATGCAGCCACAACACAGGGCAAGCTCTTGCTTGCAAAGCCCAAGTTTCCAAGCAACCACCAACTGTGTTTGCAGAAGTCATGCATGTAAATCTTTAGCCATGGAGCACAATTTACTTGCACTGGTAAAATTAAGTGTACATATACTATATACTCCATCTATTTGAATGAAATTTATTACAAAAATCAAACCAAGTCAAGTAACTGAAATAAAAGTTTCTATCATCTCTGCTAGTATTTTTAAGCAGGTTTTTGGAGTGGTAAATTAATAGCCAATTATCCATTCCTTCTCCCCATAAAGACTATTACCCCAGCCTCCAACAATCTAATATAAATGAGGCACAGTAATTGATGTCCTATTCTGTTCATGTGAGATTTTCTGCTCTATGGTCTGATCAAATAAGAAAAACTCTTAGAAAACACCTGTCTAAATTGATTTAATCAGAGATTGATGTCAAATTACCCTGGAAGATTAAAAACATCAACAAGAGAGAGAAAATAGGTTGCATACTGGAAAATAGGTTTTTCAGAAAGCTTTTGAAAGAAATAACAAATCAAAAGTAAGCAGGTAATTGGCCTGATTTGTTGCTGTGCAAGATAACCAGATTCCATCCTTTAAGTCAAAGGAACATGAAAGGTTTTGTTGCTCACCAGAACATACAGCAATCAAAACAATATGAAACAAACATCCCAACCTAGAATCTGTGGATTAAAGTTTGGTGTTCAACTTCCCTTTTCCAAACAATATAATATAAACCCGTGGAAAATCAATTCTGAATATCAGTTCTTAGCTATTAGTACTCCACATACCACTTGACTAAGATTCCTGAGCAGGAAAAGGGTGTGACAGGCAATCAGTAGATGTAGCTCTTATCGCTTGATAAATAGTGTTTTAACAACCAGCCAGAGATACAGGTCCAGAACAAGTTACACGGACTGTTGCAGGAGTTGTTTCTAACTGTAATATTTCGAGTATATATTTAAGAACACAGCCACACACTGCACCACGCAGAAGACAGGAAACGAAGAAGCCCCCAGTGCTCATTGCTCCCATCATTGGCTAGATCAGGACCCTCTACTCAGCTTAGGTCTTTAAGCCCTGATTTAACATCAGTTCTTTCCTTCCCCTGGAAACATTTAAGACAGCGACCCAGACATGTCAGGCAGCTGAGAGCCCCAAGAATAAAGCAGGAGGCAGACAGCAGACAGAGTCAAAAAGACAGCAGGCAAACGACTTCAGTTTCTTAAATTCCTTTGGGCAGGAAAGACAAACACCAGGGTCCTTGCATGCCACGAGGTAAAACCCAGCTTAGCATTCTGTGAATGACTGTTTGTATGTTGACAGTAGAATAATCAAGTACTTCCTCCAGTGTGAAAGAAGCACATGCATGACAGTGTGTGTGTCTTATAACTCCAAGTCCTTTCCAGCTCCCTTGTAGCCAACTGTTGTCACAAAGCAGGTCCCATGCTTTCTCCAGAGTAGATGATGAGACACAACAGCTTCTCCAAATCAGAAAAACCTGCCTCGTCAGTTGTAACAAACTTCTGTTCTGTAGCCACTCTTCATCTGCCAATACTCAGCACCTGGCTGGTATGCGCTGTACTCAAAAGAGAGCATTACCTGGGACAGAAGGAGCTCCTTTGGGAGCTCAGAAAGAGAGATGGAGAAGTATGGACCAAAGATCAGTAACTTAAAACATTATTTAATGGGCACAAAAAGTATAAGCTTATGTACCACAAAACCAAACAGAAGTTGGGATGGCTGGGAACAGTACAGCCTCAATTCCCTCTGCTGGTGGGAGTCAGAGTGAGGCTGCCTAAATGGTATTTGCACATTGCCTTGCAAGAAACATCCAAGGGTGTTAGTACTCTCTTCTGTCTCTTCAGTGCCCTAAGGAACTTGAACAATGCTTAGTAAGCGGCTTGAGAATATTTACTGCCACTATCATTCGTCACTGCATCAGAAGAGTTCTTCTGGAAAGAGGGGAAACTCTCGGGCTAATGATTACACCATGGATAAGTGTGTTTTGGGGGGAGAGATGGATTTATACATATTACAGTCTCTTAAAGTAGAATTACAAAATCTTAATTCTTGCATAGATAGGATTAACCCATACTGCTAATACTTGGGGGGGAAGTTAAAATTCAAACTAGAACCTTAGGTAGACAAAGGGAACAACCATTTTTGGTTTGATTTTTGTTTTACAGATGTTTTCTAGGCTCACAGTTTAGATTTAGAGAAGATTATTTACAATATTGAACACAGTTTACCATCCCTTCTATACATAATTTGAGACACCTGAAAGGTCAGAAACCATAAAAGATGGCTGCCTAAAACTCCATTTTAGGAAAGAAAGGAAAAAAAGAAAGGAATTCCGATTCCTGAAAGTGTTTTACATTGTTCAACCATAACTATTAGGTACTCCATATTTATGGCCATTAGTCATTTTGTCATCTAATGGCATTATCATAATACCAAAGAGAATGGAGCCCACAATTATCTCGGCAGTTGCACACAGTCATCTCCTGATTACATACATTCAGATGACACCTGTTTTCCCTCCACTAAAATAAAAGTTGGTACCACTTAACCTGATGATCTAAAGACTCCAGAATACTCAAATGTGGCATAGAAACACACAATCCTGAATTGACCTTAAATAATAGTTACTTAGAAATAGAATTTAAAATCAGAATAAAATAACTAGATCATACAAACTGACTTTAATGTCTTTTGACCATAAAATGTCTTTACCTCTAGGTGTTGTAATTAGTACATATATATACGTGTATATATATATATGTAATGGATATCCATAGACATATATATTTGTGCATGCATACAATAAACAGACACATTTCTACCTGACCTTATTACCTATATTCAACATAACACCAATTGCCCAAGGGTCACGCAAGCCTTCAGCAACACCTCGATTAAAAAGCATGGATTTCTCACGGAAGCACTTGCCAAGATGCTTGTGCACCACAGACCTACGATGTGCTGGCTCGGGTTGGACATTGCACTCCCCAGACAATATTAGAGCCAAAACATTTTTAAACCTGCCTGCAGTTAAACAACACCCTCCCAACATCACCTCCTTCCTGTCTAAAAATAACAGTGATGGCATTCGTACCCGATAGCACAAGAAGTTAGAGCAAGGGGCAATAAAAGAGGCAAGGAAAACGAGCATCACCTGCCTCTCATTTTCCTCTGACAGGGCTGCAGCACTAACACACCTGTTCAGCTGGAAACTGGTGCTGTGCAGCGAGCATTGGCATCATGTAGATGTCACTGCATCGAAAATTTGTAAAGAATGGATGACACTGTTACCTACTTCGTTTCCACATTCAGTGTGGAATTTATTTCAACTCCCAGGGTAACCTGAACAAAATTGCCTGAAGCCAGCTCCTGCCTTATCTGATAAGTACACCTAAGCGCTCCTGAACGGCAATACCGCATTTCTGTTTAAAAAAAAAAAAAAAAAAAAAAAAAAAGAGAGAGAAACTTTCCCCCGGAGCGTGACTTTTGTTTTACTTCACACCTGTTTAAAACAAACAAACAAAAAACCCCACCCAGCCCAAAAGACTGTATCTGTAGGATGTTCAAGCCAGGAGCACCGGGCTGGTCTGGAAGCCTCCGCGGGGAGGACGAGCCCTGTGCGGGGGAGGTGGGAGGGGGCACGAGGGGGTGCAGGTGAGGGGCGGCCCCGGGAGCCCCCCACACGGCCGGCCGCGCCGGGACGGCGCCCCCGCTGCAGGGGACCGGTCCAGCGGCTGTAACGGGAGCGCGGCGCGGAGCAGGTGCCCGGCGGGAGCGGGGCGGTACTCACACGGTGAAGTGGTACACGAAGCACTTCCAGCCCGTGGGCCGCTCCAAGAAGTTGTAGACCCTGCCCTGGACGCTGCTACGGCTCAGCAGGGGCTTGCGGAGGCTGTAGATAGAGACGCGGGGGTCCAGGCTGACGGGGGGCCGCGGGCAGTCGGCGCTCACCATCACCACCTCGCTCCGCAGCCGCGGCGCCCGCTCCCGCACCGGCTCCGGGCCGCAGCCCGGCGGAGCCTGCCCGCCCTGCGGGGCGGACAGCGGGGCGTAGTGGGCGTTTGGGGTGCTCTCGGCCAGCTCCAGCGCCGACGGCTTCTTGCCGGGCGTCATGCTGCCTCTCCTGGGCAGCGACAGCCGGCCCAGGCTGCGGCTCTTCGGCTCGCCCGGCGGGGAGCTGGAGGACATGGCTGGGGCGGCCGGGGCAGCTCTGGCGGCGCGGCGGTGTCGGGGCTGCGCTGCGCTGCGCTGCCCCGGGAGCTGCGGCCGGGGCCGAGCGCCCTGTCCCGCCGCCGCCGCTGGCCCGGCCCCCGCGGGGCGGCTCCCAACGGGGAAAGGTGCGGGCAAGGGCGGGGGCGGGCCCGTCCCCGCCGCAGTCCCGGTGCTGCCCGGCGGGAGGCGCTGCCGGCGGCACCCCAGCCTTGCCCCGGGGGCACGGGCTGGGAGAGCAGCCCTTGGTGGTGTCCGGACCGCCCTCCGTGTCACGCTCAAAACAAATCACACGCTCTGTAGCGTCACTCTGACCTCCACCTGTGTCACCTGTCCCCTTGTCACCGCCATGGCTGCGTGGAGGTGGCCTCTCACCTGTGTGAGGAACTACGAGGACAGGGAGCAGGGAGCAGCCTTCCAGCAACCCAGAAGCCCAGCGGGCTTTCCCACCGTCTCAGCCTGCTCTGTGGGGATAAAGTGCTCCAGTGTTTTCCAGATCTGTGCCCTTGGGTGGCTTGAGCTTCTGCGGTACAAGCCCTTACCTCAGAATTAGGGCTGTCAAAGCCTTCAGGGCCAGCTGGTCCATCCCTTTTTGCGGAATTTCAGCACCTGGGAGCAGCAGAGCTCTGCTGGACTCTGAATCCTCAAGGAGGCTCTTTTTAATATGAGTAACAGGAATTAAGAGCTTGGACAACAGGCCTTGCGGTCCCTCATGTTATTTTAACATCAGGAGTAAATAGCTGAATAATGGGGAAAACTGTAGAACGCAATAAACACAGTTCTGCAGTCCTGCGTCCTCTACAATTTGGGCTTCTCACCAGCAACATTTTGGTTTTTGTGGAAGGGTGCATGTGTTTGGCCATTAAGAACAAGTTATGGTTAGGGCTTGGATAACTTTCCTGCGCAGTGAAGTAAGTTATGACTTCCTTATCTGTGGTGTGAATCGATTTGTCATGGCTTTTTGCACCAATTAGTTAACAATGTCTATTCCCAGAGAAAAGAGGAGGGTGCTCTTTGATCTGGGTTGAGGGGTTTTTTCATTCTAACCCAAAATAGAACAGCATTGGTAAGAGCTATGTTGAGTTCACGGTTGATACTGGTACTCGGACAAGAATGTTACAGGGAGATAAGGTGCTAAATAAAGTTAAACAAAAACAACCCTGCTAATTGCAGCTCCATTCAAATGTCAGGCTGCACGAATAGTAGGGGAACTGGGCAAGATCCTTCACTAGTGTAAACAAGAAAGACTGGTAGGCCCTTGTACTGATTTACACCCATGAAGGACCTCGAAAAACAGAAGTTTTAAAACGAGAATTTGCAAAACCTGTTTGTAAACCAACAACATACCAACCAGGCTTTTTGTCCCTCCACCAGAGCATGAAGAACAAATAAGCTTAATAAAAACAGCATTTCAAAGGAAAGTTTTCCTGTATCTGCTCAAAACAGAGCCAGGTTTCTCTATTTTGAGAAACTGTTCTTTCTTGCAATAAGCCTGCAAGAAAAATGACTAATGGAAGAAAGAATGTCATCGCTACCCTTGAAGGCTCACTGTTTGAGGACTAGCCTGATAAGGTCTTGATATCAAAGTTAACAAATGTCTTTCTTTATGTAAGTGTTCCACTTTGTTTTATAGACCAGCATAACACTGTCTGGGTTATAATAGAACCATATTCTGGAGCCAGCTGCAAAACATAACTTACAGAGTTCTGCTGTATGTTCATATGTTCATTATGTTGCTTTTCAAAAACTTTTCAAAATCTTTTAAAAATATCTTGGTATTATGTTTTTATCTATCCGCTGATTAACAAAACAAAGAATAGAACCCCCACTGTATCTGAACCTAAGAAAATGGAATTTCTGTATTACTTATGCAATTTCCTTCCAAAACACAAGTTAGAGAGATATTATGTACTTAAATGGCTAAACAGGGAAGAAAATTGGTAAGAACTAAATTTTATCTTCAGTGTTCAGTGAGAAAGTTCCTAACAACCAAAGTTTGCTTCAAAAATTTTCTCACTACAAAAAAGAAAAGTCACAAATATATTCCATAGCCCTATATCTTGAAGTGTTTTTCAGGTCAGAAATATTTTCATTAGATTTTAGGTCGGACCTCTAATGCTGGCAAAATCTTTCAAAGAATCATCGCAGATAAAGGAATTTTAAAATATTTAAAACTAGTATTTAGGCAATACCTAAACATCTTTTCCCTGGACTCAAGGAATTAATCAAAATCCACTTTTTAAAATGTATTACTGATTAATGATAATGTTTATTTTATTTAGTAAAAATAATTTTGTTAGATGAGTGCCAGCTAGTTCATTTTACTGAATGCTAAAACATCTGTCTGGCATGGGTAAAGGCAAGAGCATAATCAAAGAAAAGTGTCCAATAGATGAGTACTTAATGATGAGAATCCAGGGAATAATTATCTTTAATGTATATTTTGTTACCAAAACTGTACTATAATGTGAGACATTTTCAAGATGAATACTTCAACATGGTAATGGAAATTCCTGATTTCCCCCTTCATAAGTAGCCATGTCTTGATAATAAACATGTTCATTTTACAGAACAACAGAATTATGTGAGTAGAAGAAGAGAAAAAAATATCCAGAAAGTATGGTGTAAATATGGAAGATCTAAAAATGGGAAGAAGAGGCAGATGAGTGTTCGAATACATTTATGGAGCCGGGTATCTAGCCTTTGATAGTGAAGAGAATAGGGAGATATGTTGAATAAAGAGGACATAAGTTTTAAATATTAAGGTGGAACTACTACACTGAATTGTTTCTTAGAACAATAATAATTTAGTCTACTTTGAGTATTTACAGCATTGTAGCAAAATTAATAACAATCATGATGTTTGCTATTTCCCAGTTTGGAAGTACTGTTTTAAATATTTATGTCTTTAAGAGGACTTTGATTCTAAAAATGAGATGTCATAAGTCACTGAAGTATGATGACAATACATCAATTAAGCAGATGGTAAAGGTCCCAGTTCTAGAAATTTAACTGGAGCAAGACTAGTGAAGTGTTTCTGAAGATCCCACTGTTGAGCTACAGTAGATCAAAAATGTTTGTACCAGCTTGGGGCTCTGTTTCTGTTATCCTATACTAAATTATGACTGATATTATGCATGCATTGTCACATATACTCATTAAAATGCTGTATTTTCACTTTGTGCCTGCCTGTGATCATGTCAGATCACACTGCTAAATGTTTACAAACTGGAATTGCTGCAGCCAGTTAGAAAGAGATACCTTGATCTTTTATGTGATTATTTCCCTGTGGAAGCTGAGTCTCAAACAAACAGTCAGTATCTGAGTGTTCTCTGTCTTCTGAAAGCCTTTAACACTTATATTGCAATTACAGGTTGCAGCAGTTTTCCACTGCCATGAAAATAATTTTGTTTGCTGCTCGATTACTTTGGGGGATGGTTTTTGTTTGATTGGCTTTTGGTTTTTTGGTTTGGTTTGGGGTTTTTGAATGCCACTTTCCATTTCTGCCCAGCTATAGCAGGGAACATAATAAAAAACATTTTTCAAGAAGAGGAAAGAGAGTTATATTGTCTTAATTTTGGGTTTATTTTTCTTGAATTAGAGCAAATATTTGGTTGCATTCCATTTCCTGGAGAATCCACCATTTACTCAAATCCGTAGATAATTTTAAAAACAGCCAGTGATGAAGGTAAATGTACTGAACTGAGAATAAATGTCTAGATTTTTTATATATTTTCATATAGCAATAACTGTATGACAAAAACTTTTGAAATATTATCTATCAATTAAAAAATTCTATTCACAGATGCATCATTACTTTAATAACTTTCCTATTAAAAGCAACAAAACAAGTAAGTGCTTAGACCACATACACAAAGAAAAGACTGACCACCAAGTTTTTCCTTCAAGTGAATTTATACCAGCTACCTTGGTCAGTAAGGTCCACAGTTACCATGTCATTGCTCTACCTTCAGTGTAGACATCTGTTAGCCATTGTTGTCTAGGCCTCCTGGAGGTCAACAAAAGCAGTAATACCACCAAGAAGTATGAGCAAAGAATGTCTAGGGAAGGTGACACCTTTACTAATCATTCAAAAAGCACCACGGTACAGTGCTGGTAATTAGGACAAGAGCTGCTGTGAAAGACATGGGAGATGTTCATCCTTAAGAATTACAGGGATCACAGCAGCATAATTGATGGGCAAAGTATGTCCTGGATCATGCACTCAATAAACTGTTTCCTGAAAACTGGACAATACAACCTCATCCATTCTGAAATGCTGTCTTCAGAGGCAAATTAACTATCAACAGACAGAATAGAACCTGGGAAAAGAAAGAGAAACCCATGTTCCTCCACTTGAAATAACTTCACAAAGCAAAAGCAACCTAACAAGTTAAAAGTTAATCAGTCCTGTCAGAGATCATATTAGTGGATCACTTCCTTAAAAGACTAATCGCTGTCAAAAAAGACACATTTTAACAGGTGTTTCAGTCTCTGTCAAGACAAATGGAGCAGATAGAAAAGAGCAGATAACATTCTATTCAGAAAGTTTAAACTGGCTTTTAATTCTCTCCCTTCTTTACTGTTGGGTTATTTTTAACTGTGGATGCAGTAAGTTTAGGAATCTGGTCAGTAGAGAGAAGTAACATTGCAGAAGATAGTGGCATGCACCAGATATCTGGAGCGTGGAGGCTGTGCAGTCCAGCAGCTGACAATCCTGATTAGCATTATCTGTTTGGATGCTATCTCAGTGCATGGTTACGTTCTAAATTTATATTATAGTTTTACACTGTTTCATAGGTTTTTAAAGCATATTGATGCTGTTCTGGGGAGGAATGTTATTGTCTACCAATGCTCACATTTTAAGTTCTAAAGCAAAGAAAGACCCTGAGCATGTATTTAGACTTAGGCCACACGAACAAAAAAAAGTTGATGAGTACCTCAGCCTTCTCCTCATCTGCTGTTACCAGTTTTCAAGC